CACCCAAATCCCGCCCTTCCCGAGCCTCGGCTTCCTCATCTTGACAATCGAGGGAAGGGGGTGGCTGGTCATCTTGGACCCACCCCCCGCCCAGGGCAACTTCCCAGGGAAGCTCACAGCTTGCGAGACAGCTGCCCCGCCAGCCCCTGCCCCAAAGCCGCTTCAGCTCTGCAGCGCCCCGGCCTCTGCATGTCCCCTGACAGCACGAAGTGCCTCTGTGTGGGCGGCTGACCCTGGCGGACCCCGCTGCCCTGACACGCAGTGTCACCGCCCTGCACTTCCAGGCAGCCCAGACCCTGTCCAACAGCTGCTGGTGGAGGACTCTCACCCCCAGCTCGGCTGGTGGCGGCAGATACAGTAGCACCGTTGTCCCCCCAACTGCTCAAGAGTTAGGGGAGCCCAGAAACTTCGAGACACACAGCAAGTGTATCTGAAAGCAACCTCAGTCCAGGTGGTAGTCGGGGCACCCGGCCAACCCCTGGAGTCAGGACGTTTGGCGCCAAATCCAACACCTGGCTTGGCTCCAGGCACCTCTAGCCTGGGGGATCGAATGGGGTAGGTGGGAACAGGTGGGCCACATGGGGCCTCCTCATACTCGCCCCGACACTGCCCCGCCCCAAACCAGCACCCAACACTCAGGACCTGACGTGGCCACCTCCCAGAGCCGTGCGTCTCGGTCCTGAAAGGGGCCGCTGGCGGATTTCACAGCAGAACCTTTTCTTGGAGCCCAGTATGTCAAACACAGCGAAGTGCAGCTTTTCTCATGGGGGCAGAGGGGTGGCCTATACGGTCGGACCCCCTACTGCCCTCTCCCCAAGCTCCATGGCTATCCCTAAGCAGTTCTGCAAAGCACAGCTCAGGAACCAAACCTCTCACTTTACACCCAAGGGAACCTGCGAGGGCAAGCTCTGTGGCGAGGCCTCCAGCGTGACAAGGACCCACTGTGCGCTGCCCCCATTAGTGGCCAGCACCCAGTGTCACAGTCAACCAGCACCAACTAGGGAGACAGAGGACACCACACCTCTCAGCTCACGTGTGCACACACACATACACATGCGTGCACAGGCATGCAGACATGGGGTGGAGGGCACCTGGGCCCCTCAGGGCCGGCCCGGCCTCGGGGATGGAGGCTGTTCTGGCCAGTGCACCTCTGGTCGGTAGACCCTCTGCCACGAGGCTGTCTCTGCCCTGCGGGGGGGTGACTTCTGGGCCCCCATACTCCACAGATGCAGGTGACAGGTCAGCTGGGCGAGGGCCCCTGGAGACTGGGGGAAGCAGCCTGTGTGCCCAGTTCTGGGCCTGGCTGGAGCAGCCGCCCCAGCCTCACCCACCACCTCGCTGTCAGTGGTGGGAGAATCTGGGCCAGCCGAGGGGCAGAGGCTGGGGGCCTCCTGCTGGGCTCCCATAGGTGCCTCAGACAGAGCAGGGCCGCCCCGGGCACGGGAGACGGGGGCTGGCGGCTGCAGGCAAATGCTTCACCCATGTGCTGGACATCCGCCTTCCCCCCATGCTCAGTTCCAGGAGAACAGGCCGCCAGGGGCTCCACCCGGCTTAGCCGTGCAGCCCCCATGTCTGTGGCAGCCCCGAGGGTGCTGTCGTGATCACGCACAGGGCAGCAGAGGGCCACGTCCGACTCTGGGTTGAGTGATCACAGGGTGAGTGCCCTGCCATGGTCATTGGCCAGGCTCGGGCCAGAGCCGATCCCACAGGCAGCTTCCCTAGGTGGTCCCCAATAAAGGGGGCAGGTGGGGCCCACCACGCAGACCCCTCCACCCCACACTCACTGTGCAGATGTGGAGCAGGGAGAACAGCATCCTTCCCCGCCCTGGCCCGTGAACTCACCTGGAGAGAAACCACCTGGGAGCGAGAGGGCAGGAGTGACAAGTGCTGGCATCCTCTGCTGTGGGCGCCGGTGTGGGAGGAGCCTGACGTCGAGGAGCCCTTGCCAAGGTCCACACTGGGGAGGTGACAGCCTCACCTCGGGGACCCACTGCTGCAGCCCAAGGGGGGTGTGATCACCCAGCCAACGTTCAGAAAGATGAGGCATCCACGGCCGGCAGAGCTTGGGAAACATTCCCCGGCAGGCATGGGGCACCGAGCCAGGCGGGCTTGCCAGGGTTGGAAAGACTGAGCCTGCGTTCTAAGGAGCAAGCGGACTGTGGCGCCAGGGCCAGGGCTTGAGAAGGCTTGCCCAGCCGCGTGCCCCCTCCTGCACACCCCCCTAGGAAGCAGGGCGGCCCCCTGCCCGGCTCAGCCTCTCGCAGGCTCCAGAGCAGAACTTCGCACCTCACTATGACGGGGAAGAGTAAGCGCTGGCTTCACAGGTACCTGTGACTCCTGCCCACGGGGGCAGTCCCGCTAGCCAGGCAGGTGTGAGCGATGTGGACATCCACCCACCCCAAGTCCTCTCCAGAAGCCAGCCCCACAAAGGCAGGCCTGTTAGGGTTAGTGAGGGTGGGCAGCGATGCCTCCAAGAGACTCGCAAGTCCATGCCCACGATTCCTAGTTAACAACGCTGCCACTCTCCCCCGAAGGGCAGCCTGGCTGTCGTCTTATCAGGCCACATTGTTTGTGTTGGGGCTTTCATCAGCGCAGTCACTGCCCCCTCCTTCACCACCAGGGTCCCCAGTGGAATCCCAGGGTCAGGAATGTGCAGCAATCAGGTGCGCGGTGGCAAGTACACGCACGGGCCTACATAAAGCAGGGAGAACCCGTGAGCCACACTTCCTGGACAAGGACCCACAGAAGCTCGCCCAGCCCCGGAGCCCAGGGACCCACCAGCCCTCCTGGGAGCAGGCCCGGCCACACGGTGAGCACAGCCGCCCTGTGCTCAGTAGGAGCCCCAGCTTGGGCCCTTGTCCAGTCAGGAGCTGGGCACAGGCAGGCAGAGGGTACCTGGAACCATGGGCAGGGAAGGCCCAGAGAGGCGGAAACCAACACTTTGTTTTGCTGACAGCTCCAGCAGCAGAGATGGGCCACAGCTACCCTGCCAGGGCCACTGCCTTCTGCCCTGGGTGTTTCCTGCTGTTTCCTGGACATTGGAGCCTGAAGCCCTGACTCGTGCTGGGGCCCCATCTTCAGTGGCAAATGCTCCCAGTTTCCTGAAGGGGTCCATGGCCCCCCAGAAGGGGAGAAAGGCCACTACTTGCTCTGCACCAAGATGTCACCTTTCTAGAGACCCAGAGGCGCCCCCAGGTGGACTTAGCCAGCAGGATGGAAAGGTCCCCGTCCACAGAGCAGTCGGCAAAGTGCTCTCTATGGGGAGAAGGGCAAGGGCTCACCCCTGCAGAAAACCGTCTCCGGGAAGCCCCCACTCTGCCCAGGCCCTGATGGATAGGCTTCCCTGGCAGTAGGCAGGAAGTCACTCCAGCCCCTGGGGGCCTAGAGAAGCTTAGGAGAACTGGATTTGGGTAGAAAAGGGGGGCGCTTTCCTTTTTTTTTTGAGACAGAGTCTTGCTCTGTTGCCCGGCTAGAGTGCAGTGGCATCATCATAGCTCACTGCAGCTTCCAGCTCCTGGGCTCAAGCGATCCTGCTGCCTCAGCCGCCAAAGTAGCTGGGACTACAGGTGTGCCACCGCGCTTGGCTACTTTTTAAATTTTTTGTAGAGATGGAGTCTCACTCTTGCTCAGGCTGGTCCCGAATTCCTGGGCTCAAGTGATCCTCCTGCTTTAGCCTCACAGAGTGCTGGGACTACAGGCATGCGCCACCACGCACGGCTTCATCATTTTTTTTTTTTTAAGCTTTCTGGCTGAGCTCACCTCTCTGAAATGTTTTCGAAGGAGCCTTTTTCTGGAAAGGGCTCTGGGGACTTCTGTCCCGTCTTGTGCAGAGCTGGCGTTCTCCATTCTATCCTCGGTTCCACTCCGCAGAGAACGAGCCAGCTCCGACTCACCACTGGTCATTACCAAAGAGGCTTCCTTTGCAAGGGAAGGGAGCAACTGTTGCTAGGGCAGGGGCGTTCTGGAAGTTCTGTTTCAGACCTCCCCGACCGTCACGTGTGGTATAGGGCAGCAGGTCAGGGCTTGCATTCCACCTGGGCTTGAACCCCAGCTCTGTCACTTTAAGCCATGAGATCTTGGACAAGTCACCCCACCTGTCTGAGCGTGATGCCCCTCTGTGAAATGGGGCTGAAGTAACACCTCCCGTAGGAGGGCTGAGAGGCCCGTATCTGACACGTGTGAAACGCATCTCCCATAGGCTTGGTGCACCAGGAAGCCATCTGGCCATTGGAATGGTGAATCCAGAGCCTCCTCTTTCTAGCTGTGTGGCCTGGGCGCAATCTCAGCCTTTTCAACAGTTTTTCTGCCTGAAAAAGTACCTATGAAGCAGGACTAACAGTACCTATGAAGCAGGTTTATTGCAAAGATGAAATACAGCCAGCCGTGTGTGCATAAATCTCTTAGCTTGGAGCCTGGCACATCGCCAGTGCTCCCCAGGGGTTGCCCATGCTCCCCCACATTCCCACGCTCCTCCCCAGGTTGGGGTCCAAGTTAGGCCAGGACCACCAAATCCGTTTCCTGCTTTCAGGAGCAATTAATTTCCATGTTAAAGAGACATTAGCAGGGTGTCCCAGCTAAACAGCTTAGCTAAACCCATTTATTATCAAGGGAGATTGATGCTTTTAACTTTCTACCCTATGGCTCTGAGATGATACGACCCAAGGACCAATAATTATAAATGAAAAATGAACCCACATCGCTTGGCTCTCCCGGGGCCGCCTGGGCATGGCTCTGCCATCCAGCAGTGGTGGCATCACAGTGCTCAGCTGCCAAGGCAGTCAGATCCAGGAACTGCAGGAGAGTGAGAACCAGCCTAATCGGTTCAATCAGCTCCCGAGCCTGCTAATAAAATAAAGGCCTGGTCCCTGCCACTGCTTGGAAGCCGGGCTCCCCTCTGATGGCTGCGCGGGCCTGTGTCGTGTGTGGCATGTGGACAGACTGTAACTTCCTCTCTTTCCTGGGTCAGATGATAAGCCGTCACTCCCTGAACCTACCTCCTTCTCCTGCCGCTGGGCACCTGCTTTCCTCTACCAGACACAAGAGGACCCACAGACGCCCTGGGTAGCATCGGAGTCGGAGTGAACTGGGCCAGCCTGGCCGAGGGGCCCCATCCCCACTCCATGTGGGGCTCTTCTCGGTGGTCGAAAGATCCACGACCACAGGCCCTGCTTGTCGAGGCCAAGGGGCTGTGGACAATGGGCAGAGAGCATGCTGGCTTTAGGTTCCGCTTTGGGAGGCAGGACGAGGCGGCCAGTGTCCTGTTAGGGAACCTGGCTGAGGAGCTCAAGGGCTACAGCAGGAAGACAGGTGGCTTCCGCTTCCACTTTGGCCGGCAGTAAGGGCCAGGGCATCTTGGAAGGGGTTTCTTTGTGGACTCTCCCTCCATTTGTCTTCACTCCCACCTTCTCCTCCAGAGTCAAAGACCAAGGCACCGAGAAGATGTAGGCATTACAAGGCATAACCGGCGGTAGCACTGGTTAGGTGTTTGCTTCCTTTTGATTTCCAACTTTGCTAAAGCAAAAAACTAGGTGGTGTCAGAAAAGGAGGTGGCCAAAAGCGAGCTGTGTCTTGCTTATGAGGACAACGCTGCGGCTGTTCCAGCTCACCGAGAGCCCGTCAGTCTCAGGCCCCCCCCCTCGCCCCCTAGCAGCCCCTTGGCCCCAGTGGCGTGGACACGAGGCTGCAGTTGGACCATGAATATGAATGGGCAGAGCAAGGCAGTGGACTGAGTGACTACAGCGGGGTAATCAAAGTTTTGGCAGCCTCCACGGGGACGTCGGTAGCTGACATCCAAAGTACATCTGCGAATGAGCACATTCCACTGGGTGCAGAGCATGGTTCCGAAAGTTAAAAAGGAAAAAAGCATCTCGTTCTCCATCCTAGTAACACATGATCCCTCCGGCGAGAACCCTCTGCAGTGGTACGGAGAGCCCCTTCCAACAGCTGTCCTTCTCTGTGGTGCGGTGTTTGTCACACCAGGAGTCTCCAGAGAGAGGGACCAGGAAGGAATACATTGTTGCTATAGCAAGGCTGCATTTCAAATGTTCCAATATAAAGTGCTGTGTGTCTTTTGAAATAAAAGTTGTAACAACTGCAAAACCACAATGGAATGCCGGCCTCTTCCCCAAAGGTCCTCTGTGCCCGAGAACTCGGCTTTCTGGAGCTCTGAGCGCCTTCCCTTTGGGGAGCTAAGAGTCCTACTGCGTGTCCCCACACACCTCTCTCCCGGAGCCCCTCGACTGAAGGTTGGTCAAGGTACAGGGAAACACAGTACAGGGTGTTTTCCTCCTCCACTTGACTGCTCCTTCCCTGGTTTTCTCAGAACGAGGGGCATTCAGGAAACAACTTCTCCCAGGGAGAGCCCGCGCTCAGCCCAGAGCGGCCGCGGCCCCGGGTCCAGGCGGAGCATCCATTTCAAAGGCTGCTTTGGTGTCTCCTGCATCCATCCCGTGTCAGGCGCGGCAGTCGGGTGCTGCTCGCTCCCAGGCTGGCTTCCACTGCTGCGATGAGAACACACATCGATGTTGCTATGGCAACTTCTCCCCTCCTCCTCTCGTGCTGCAGCTTGCCCCTGTTCACAATTGAATAATTTTCCATTGAGCTGTCACAATTAATTGGTGGATTTTTATTAGCCTTTTAGAACCACACTGGGCTGGGCCCAGCTTGGCGCCTTGGAGTATTTCACAGTGTTTTCCATTCTATTAGCGACTTACATCCCCCAGAAGCAGCTCTCAATCCTCCGCAGCCGGAAAGCCACTTCATTAGGGGGTGACAGAACTGAGCCACAAAAGAACCAAGCTGACTGGGGAGCAGAAACAGGCGGTGCGAGGGGAAAGCAGCACGGGAGGCGGAGCGGCACCATGTTCGCAAGCTGCCTTCCCTGGGTGGTTGCAGGTGCCCTGCGTCTTGGCTGCCGTGACACGGAGACGACAGCGGCACCCGAGCGTGGGCCACACCACTCTTTCTGGCTCCACCATGGTCCGAGGAAGAGGCGACTCAGGGTGCCTCCTGCAAAGCATGTTGTCACCAGCAGCTAACATGACACTGACAGGAATGGACACATCCCCAGGATCCCTGCTCTAAGGCCGGCGCTGGCATTCACAGGATGGACAGACAGATCCTCTCAGCCCCAGGCGTGCTCATTCTCGGGGGCAGGGGCGCCCGTTCCACTTGGCTTGTTAAAGGCGAGAGAGGCGATAACCTCACTCCCCCTCAGCTCATCCACGAATATAAAGCAGCGGGAAAACATGCCCACTACGACCAGGTAAACACAACAGACGGAAGGCCACGGGCAGAGCAACCCCCCGGAGCAAGGTCCCAATTTCTACCTGCTCTGATAAAGGACCTGCCCCACGGTGACAGTTTTGAGAACCTGGAGGACAGCAGGGCTGAGCTATCCTGAGTACCTTCACACACGCTTCAGGTACACACTGGGCAGTTTCTAATTCAGCAGGATCAGATTAACCTTGATGGAGAAACCTGTGATAAAGGAGACGGGCGAGGGCCTCCGCAGGACTGGGTGTCCTGTCATCACGCTTTTATCGTTGAAAAAAATCATCAAGCTATTCTTTCCAGTTTGCTTGTACATTTGCGCCTAATAACCCTGAAATCCACAACCACCCAGCAGCTGAGGGCACTGATCCGTCAACTCAACTCCCACTGGACCCAGCCAACTTCCTCTTTGTCCCCTGCCCTGCTGCCACCCCACAGCCGCAGCCAAGGTCTTTGGAGCCTCTCATGCCACCCCAGTGCCCCCTCGGCCCCACTCTCTCCTCAACAGGGAAGATTACTCCTCTCCAGGTGAGTGAAGGTGAGACTCCAGAAGTATCTGTCATGGAAGCAGAGAGACCCAGCTCCCCTGAGCGATGCCAGCAGCTCCACCTGGCCTGGCAGCTGGGCCTCCCCCAGCCCAGAGCGCCCAAGCTGTTTGCATCTGTTTGTTGTATTCACTGAAGATAAAAGTTTTCATCTTGGTGTGTAGATGTAAAGGTATTTAGCATCAAAATGGATGGGAAATATTTGTCTGTAATTTCCCGTATGTTTGAAATATTAATAAAAATCTTTAAGGAAAACACCAATACAGGTTCCAGGGAGCAGCCAGCTACAAGGCAGCTGCTGTAGTGACCAAAAGGGACGTCACCTCATCCTAGCTTTGCTCCAGTGCCAAAGATGCTGCATGACAGATTTCATTAAAGACCCCAAACCCAACACAGTACTTTTCACCGCCCTGGGCAAGGAGCTGCTGCAATCTACAGTGCCCCTGGCCCTCGGGAATGCCGGCCCAGACCACACCTCGGAGCTTTCCCCGATTGCAGTAGTGACTTCAGCTGGAGCTGGGGGACCTGCCCAAGATTCAAGTGACCAGTGCTGAGGGCAGTGCTGACAGGGGGACACTGTGGACAGTCTGATCCTGCCCCATGTCTTCTGTACGAGACATTTAGAGATCGGTTCCCCAGAGCGCTCAGTTTAGGAATGCCGCCCATAAATTATCTCTGACGCCTGACAAGCTGGGCTAGCTGGAATTCTTGGCCCTGAGAAGCTGGGCTAGCTGGAATTCTTGGCTTCTCTTCCTATGTGCAGGGAGCAGCCTGGCCCTGGGGCACAGCTCTCTCTGCTGGTCATGCTGTGGCCGCCTGAACTGTCATAAACTAGCCTGCCATGGCAGGCATCAGCTGGCACGTACTGTGTGACCCTGGCCAAGCTGCACCCCATCGCCGAGCCTCCACTTCTTTACCTGACAGAGGAGGACAGTGACAGAAACTCCCTCATTAAAAAAAAAAAAAAAAAAAGGTGTGAAGGTTTCAGGTGGCGCCTCGGAGAGCATCTGCAGAGTAGCTGAAATGCTGTAATTTTAAGGAAACTTTCACTTTAGTATTCATATAACATGCACCAGAACGTGCATCAATTCTAAGTGTACAGTTCGAAGAAGCTTCACTGAGTGACACACCCACCAGCCCGCAGCACCCAGACTAAGACACAGACCTACCCCCGGCCCCCACCCTCCCCCACGACGCATTTCCCTGGCCGTCCCCGTGAGTGTCTGGCTTCTTCGGCCCACGCACGTCGTGCTGTGTGGAGATTCTCATTGTGCCATTTTGTGATCCTTTTTTCTATTGACAGACATCTGGATGTTGTTTTCAGTTTTTTGTTTGTTTGATTTTAAAGGGAATTTACGATACTTTAGGCTTGTTTTGTGATGGTAACAATAGTAGCTGCTTGCCCCTTTGTTGGGCTTGGTCCCTGGGGGACTCCTTTGGTGCAAGACCTCGTGGGCAGGACTCAAAATTATCTGGAAATAGGGGCCGGGCGCGGTGGCTCATGCCTGTAATCCTAGCACTCTGGGAGGCTGAGGCGGGCGGATTGTTTGAGCTCGGGAGTTTGAGACCAGCCTGGGCAAGAGCGAGACCCCGTCTCTACCAAAAATAGAAAGAAATTAATTGGACAGCTAAAAATATATAGAAAAAATTAGCCAGGCATGGTGGCACATGCCTGTAGTCCCAGCTACTTGGGAGGCTGAGGCAGTAGGATTGCTTGAGCCCAGGAGTCTGAGATTGCTGTGAGCTAGGCTGATGCCACGGCACTCACTCTAGCCCAGGCAAAAGAGTGAGACTCTGTCTCAAAAAAAAAAAAAAAATTATCTGGAAATAATTGTGTGTGCACATATGTGCATTATCTGGGGCTGGGATCCACAGTTTTCATTAGAATTTCAAGAGTTTCTATGACCTAAAAAAGATTAAGAAACCACTGTCTTAGAATGGCTAAACCAAACTAAGTTTTATAAGCTTGAGTGACACACAAAAGATCCTTCAGGAGACAAGCAGTGTCGTACTCCACACAGGCATGTCTGCCGCATGACTGGTCACGCAACCTCATGGCTCAGCACTGGGAGACGGGATGATGATACGCCTGCCCGAGAGGCTGCTGCGGGGCTGGCAGGACTCCATGAAGGGTCCACACCTGACACGTCGGTGCAGTGCCAGTTGTAGCTGTCACCAGAATCATTCTGTATCTTCTTTCAGACTTGGGAACAGTCACTCAAGGATGATGCTGTCGGCCACAGAAAAGCCCCAGACTTAGGACACCTGGTGTCCAGTTACGGTCCAACCGGTGAGCACCTCTGTGGACCCAGCCTCAGTTTTTGTCTCTGTGAAACGGGAGGAGAACCTGGTGCCCTGCACTGCTGCAGCCACTCGCTGTGAGCACGCTGCGGCAGGTGTCGCCAGCCTTGGCCCCCGCCGCCTGCTGCGCAGCGCGTCTTGCTGCTGAGGTCTCCCGCGAAGAGCTCACTGAGCCGTGCGCTTCAGTATGCTCTGCTGAGCAGGACGTGCAGCCTCTGACGGGCCTGCTGGCTTAATAAGTATCATTAGCAGAGGGCGCTGCTGACTTCCCAACTTCCCCTTCCAAGCTGTCAGCCTGGCAGAGACAGAGCTGAGGCAGAGTCAGCTCTCCCACCTGACAGTCCCCTGGGGGCACACTGCACCGCCTCAAAGGCCAGCATACCTCCTCTCCTCCTCGTCCACACGAAGAAACAGGACACCCAGGATGTGGAACACAAGTAAGCGAGGAGGCCTGGAGCTGAGGGCAGGGGGTTCAAAGGTAAAGAGAGAAAAGGCACACTGGGGGGGGGACAGGGATGCAGCCAGCAAGGAACTCAGCAAGTCACCTCCTCACTGCTCTTCAGGGATGCTGTGATGGCCTGACACCGCCAGTGAGAAGTGGCCCGTGTGGAGGCACAGCCCACTCTCAGCGATGCGACAAGAGCCGGGCTGCTGCCAAACAAGCGCCAAGGGCACAGGAAGGGCACAGGAAGGGCACAGGAAGGGCCTGACAGAGCAGGGAATGCGCCTGCGAATCGGCCCGTGAGCACACAGGCCGCAGGGGCCCTGGCCGCTGGGTGGCAGCTCCGCCACTGCCCTGTAGGACCCAGTGCGGGGGGGCCCCCAGCCCCTTCAGGGAACCAGAACCCACTGCAGCCCTGTCCACACACAGCGGCTCAGAACAGGGAAGGATCACAGACCAAAGCAATCTGCCAAGGACTCTAGAGTTGTAAACACTGATTTATTTAAAAAATACTACAGAGAACAGATTTGGATTCAAAAAACACAGAGTCATATACAGAAACAAAATGTACTGGACCCAGGAAAAAAAAAGGAGGGACCCCACAGGCATTCCAGAGAGAGTGGAAAACTATTTACATGTCATTTATAAAAGAGCAAGTCTACAAAAGAGTGTAATACCAAGGTATAAATGTAAAATATAGTGGCACATCATGTTAACAAAAAGGAGAGACCAGTACCTCGTGGGAACAGGCAGTCGGGGATACCCGGTGGGTCTGCAAGGCCGCTGTCGGTGTCTAGCGCCTCCCGCAGGCTGCGCGACACAGCCATCGGGGGCAAAGAGGTGATGCACTGTGAGAACCGCATAAAACGATCCGGAGGAAACCATTTCTACCAGAAAAATAAAATACAAGTTTAGGTGACGAGTGTAAAAATAGGTGCTGTGAGGTCCCGGCCTGAGGCGGCGCAGGGAGTGGGAAGGGGGTTTCCCTGGGCCCAGCTGAGGCCGGGGGCAGGCGCCTGCCCACTCCTCCTAGAGTTAGCTGCTCTAGGTCAAGGTCCAGTAGACCTGGGGTCCCTGCCCCGAGAGTCATGGTCTCTGTCCCTCAGCTCTGCTCCTGGGCAACCCGGGGGAGGAGACACCAAGGCCTGCTCTTTGAAATACTTTCTGGGGCTTCATTTGTGGTTTTCTTAACACTCCCTGATGACCCTACAGAAACATGAGGCCAAGTGTTGCTCACTGTAATTAAATAAAAGACATTAGCCTGATTCGAGAGCGCAGCCAACAGTGGTCAGGCCTTTGGTGCCAACAGTCCTTTCCTGTGTGCTGGCGCCCGTGGCAGTGTCCTTCTGTGTGCAAACGGCTGTGCAGAGGGTAGAGCTTTGAAATGCTTCAAGAACTCCAGAAAACTGGAGACTGTCTTGCCACAAAGGGAAGGGCCGGCGAGGGAAGGAGAAGGGTCCAAAATCAAGACCTTTTCAGGGCACCTGGATGTGTGACAGAAAGTTCACCCTGGGCCACCGCAGACTGGCTGAGGCCCAGTCCAGGGCTAGCCGGGCACCGGCCGTTCACCCAACCAACCACTGCCTCCCTGCCCTGCCCCTGTTCTACTGGGGGGTCGGCAGCGACAGTGACCTGCTACCCTTAAGACTCAAGCTTTCTCGCCAGGACTTGGCAGTGCATGTCAAAGACTGCAAGAACAGGGCTCGGGGATGTGGACAGGACAGATGACAGCTCCCACCTGTCCGGAACACAAGGCTAGTTGGCTTTAGCACCCTGGTTCCCACCCGAATCAGGGGCTGTCCTGCACATGAGGGAACGGCAAGTGCACCCGGCCCCGGGCAGCAGAGGAGGGCAGAGTGACCAGCTGGTGGCACTTGTGCCTGTCGCTCCCAGAATGTGGTTCTTGAAACACATCTTCAACGCAGGAGGTGCAGGGATGAGGACTGGGGAGGGGATGAGGCTCGTGGCCTTGGTTCAGGCTTCCGTTTTTGGGATAAATGGAAGGAGAAGGCACAGCCAGAGCAAGGTCTCCAGAGATAAAAATGAAAAGGACACTCCTTTTTGGCCGTTCCCACCCGACCTGGAGAGCTCAGTCCAAAGCACTCGGTGGCAACCACGCCTGATGGGCCCTGGTGTGCCAACCGCAGTCCATAGAGCGAGTGGGGACTCCACAGAGAAAACTTGAGGACAGAGCTGGCTCAGGGAGGCCTGGCTGGGGCGGAAGATGGTGCAGGAGGACAGTTGGTGCACACATAGGTAGTAGGGCTGGACTCCACGGGGGCCCTCGGCTGTGCCTGGCGCAGAGCTCCTGGGCCAAGGTGCCGACTCACTGGTCCCTTGTCAGACACTGTCACGGCACGGGTGAGCCCTCATGTGCTGCAGGCAGCTCTAGCTGGCTTGACTCCTGGCTTCTGCTACCTCTGAACAATGTCGCTGATTTCCTTTACGGAACTGAGTAGCTTGCTGAAGTCCTGAGTGGCCGCTGGGCCACTGCCTGCTGGTGCTGGGCAGATCTGGAGCTCCCGAAGGTTATTCTCCAGCTTGTTGATGGCCTCGCGGAAGGCAAACTTGTTCCTCATTTGCTGGATGGAATCCACGTAGCTCACGCAGAATGTGTAGAGGTTTTTGCCAGCTTCTAGCACCGCACTGTGGCTGGCCATCTGTTCCGAGTTCCTAGAGATGGCGAGGCACAGGGCCTCGGTGCTGTCCAGAACCACGCCCTTGGTGATAGCGCCACTGGCGATCCGCTCAGGAGGCTGGCGGGTTTTCCGAAGAGACACGCGGGTGGATATGAGAGGGATGAAGGCGGTGGAAGATGGCTGGTCCCCTGCCAGGGCTGAAGATGCTGATGGCAACGTGGAGGGAGCAGGGGCTGGGCTGGTGGGGGTCCCCGACGGCTTGGTGGATGACTGTGGCTTTGGTATGGACGGGAGCACAGGCTTTTTGACACCCTCTCCTAGCTGGCTGGGTTTGGCAGCATCACTGTTCACAGCATCAACAGCCAGACTCGTGGATTTTGTTTTCACGCTGGTGCCTGCCTCCCCGGCTGCCTCCTGGCTCGGGCTCTGCGAGGGCTTTCCAGCCTTCCCTGCGGAAGTTGGAGGGGGCGGCGGGGCAGGTTTGAGCTTGGACAGTTTCCCCCTGTCTCTTCCAGGAGACTCAGAGGAGTGCTTGTGCCTCCTCACTCTGGGCTCCTCTGCAGGGGCCTTGCTGGTGCCTGCGGGTGCGCCTGACCCCACTCTGCTGGTGGGGGGCACGGGCTCAGCTGCAACTGCGATCCCTATGGCGCCGCCCTTCCCAGTCTCTTCCTTGTGGGGGAGGCCCGAGGAAGGAGCCACCATGACGTGCCGACGGAGGGGTTTTGGAGTCAGACTGGGAGGGCTGGAGCCCGGGCTAGACTCCGTGGTGTCTTTGAAGACCTCGTCAGCAGCTTCCTCGTTCTTTTTCACCAGCCTGGGTGGGGGAGTCACAGTGCCTCTGGTCAGCTGGTTCTCACTTGCCCGCTTCCGAGGCAGAGCTGGCTTTTCACTTTTGTGCCCTCCAAATGTGGACGAGTCAAACTGTCTTCCGGTGGACTGCAAGTCCCGAGGCAGTGTGACTGACCTCCACTCTGTGTCTTTGGCCCCGTGGGGCATGCAGGAGGCAGAGCAGGATCGCAGGAAGCGCTTGCTGGAGCTGCCGCCACCCTCTTCCTCGCCTGCTGCCACGCGGCTGCTGGTCAGGGTGCTGGACTTTTTCCACAGGTGGGGAGACCGGAAGCCTGCGCCCCCTGACTCCCGGAGGGCTCCGTTGGGGACGGCAGCCCCATTGCTGGGCTTTGGGGACTTAGCTGGCTCGGCTGCGTCCAGAGGGGTGCAAGTTAATGCCCCGTTGCTGATGTCCCGGCCTTCTTCCTCGCTGGCCGCCCTGCGCTCTGGCTGGCCGTCCATCTCGCGGAAGGAGCTGCTGCGCTTGGGAGGGGCTGGGGCTGTTTTCTTCTTCTTCTTGATCAAGGCGCTGAACAAGTTGGTCTTTTTGTCTTTGGGCAGAAGGCGCTCATCTTCATTCAGGCCGCCATCTGGGGGACCTCGCTCTTTTCGAGGGAGCAATGGAGACACAGTAGGCTCCTGATCCAGAGGATCTGAAACACATTGGGAAGAGCTGAACTCCAGACCAAAGGCTCTTGCATGGTGAGCTTGGGGCTGGCCACCCCACACTGCAGAGTGGCCGGGAGTCTGGGCTCTGACAGGCCTGGGTCTGATAACCAGCTCTGCCACCCACTCTCCACGAGGCCCCGACAGTGACTTCTCTGCTCATCGCCAGCTTTCTCACTTACAAAATGGACTACAGTGCGGTGAGAGCGTCAATGGCATGGCGAACGTGGAGCACATGTCCCAGCTCCCGGCACATCGACTCTCAATAAACGCCACTGCTGCCGTTAGTATCATCACAGGAAAGGCTTAGGTATCTCTCCTTGATGATGGGGGAACAAAAAACTGGATGGCCCTGGCCTCTTCATCCCAGCACTGGCTTACTTTGAAGCAGTGAGGTCCCTCCAGCGTCATTCTCTGGTAAGTCAAAACGACAGGGCCAAGCAAAGGGTCAGAACCTGCGGCTCTCACACCAGCCAGCCAGTCGAGGTGCCTACAAGGCATGACCTGGAGGGAAGGGGCTGCATGCCACAGCGGGGAAGGGACAAGGGGCCACTACGTGTGGGAAACAAGAAGAAATGAACTTCGACAATTTTTAAATGGGCGTTCTTTAAAGATGAATACTAGCTTATAAGAACTCATTTTGGTGTTGCCAAGCCCCTGTGAATGACAGAATTCTCCCTCAGAGGTCAGCTACAAGAAGAGAGGTTTCTGTCGGCACCCTGTAACTCAGAACAGAGGTACAAGTGTGTGTTTATCAGAACCCAAGGCAGCACGCAGGACATTTGAATCAAGGAACACCAAGGACCTCACAAAACTCTAATCCAGCGGAAGAAGGCTGAGAGACTGAAATGCTAAGGAATCATACTCAGCTCCACTTCAGTGCTGGGTAGCTCACTGATACCCTCGGCTCACCACGAGATCACGTATCAAAAGACCCCTCCGATGAGGACTGACGGCACAGACGAACACGAATGCTAATCACTGGGCTGTAATAAGCACAGCGTTCCCACGGGGGCCTCTCCTCCCCACTGCTCAACTATCTGAAATCATGAAAACTAACAGAAAGACGAAGGGTCAAAGGTTCTGGAGAGTCTATATGCCAGAACCTCCCAACTGGGTGAGCAAGATGATCAAGTGGGGACGTAGGAAGAAAGTATTATAATTAGAATTTATGTCAATCTTTTAAGTGTGTATTTTATAATACACATACCATATTCCTACAGTAGTGTGTATATGTGCATACTTTACTTACTATACACATAGGCTGTACATTCAACTTTTTTTTGCCCATTTTTAAAAATATGGGTACACAATAAAAAAAAATGGGATCTACAGATTCTGCTGTAAGTAGATATCCCATCATAAATGTCCATCAAAACATGGTTTTGGGCCGGGTGTGGTGGCTCATACCTGTAATCCTAGCACTCTAGGAGGCCAAGGCGGGAGGATTGCTCAGGAGTTTGAGACCAGCCTGAGCAAAAGTGAGACCCATCTCTACTAAAAATAGAAAAATTAGCTGGGTGTCATGGCATGTGCCTATAGTCTCAGCTACTCAGGAGGCTGAGGCAGGAGGATTGCTTGAGCTCAGGAAATGGAGGTTGCAGTGAGCTACGATGACACCACTGCACTCTAGCTGGGCCAACAAAGCAAGACTCTGTCTCTAAAAAACAAAAACAAAAACAAAACAGAAACAAAAAAAACTTGGCTTTGTCCTGTCCCTTCCCACGGGCCCACTCAGTAGTCCATTGGAGTCCAGTTCACTGTCAACATGTCCCAGAAGCCTGGACAAACCCAGAAGCTTGGCCACCCTGGTACTTTCATTCAGCTGTCTGCAGCAGAACCCAGGCTGTGGGGGAGTGACAAAACGGAGCCTGGCACACCGGAAGCACTAGATAAATGTTGCTAATATTATTTTTGATAACATCTTGAGATCCCTCTTGAACCGACTCCATCTCCCTCACTCGCCTAGGCAACAGCACCAGAAAGACATTCCTCCCAGAAACCATGAGGACACTAGCTCTGCACACGGCGTCTCCTGGTTCCACTTAGCTCCTGCGAGGTTTTCATGTTGGTGCTTTCATAGCAAGCTGCTTGTCACTTGGCTCAACACTTACTGTTGTTGCAACTGCCCAGAGAGTGCAGCCGCAGACGCTGCAACAACAGATGAAAGGCAGGCTTGCTGCTCAGCAGCTTCGTAAGCACCTCTGCTCAACTCACTGAACTGACTGCCGAAGCCAACAGCTCCTAAGCGACTCCCAGAGGTAGGAGACAGGGCGCTGTGGGAGAGGACACTCCTCTGTCCGAGCTAGCCCACTGAGGAAGGATATGCCTGTGTGGGCTCCAAGCACAGCTTCCCATTCACCTACATGGGCCCAAAGGCTGGTGGGCCCTGGGCCTCTGGCAGGGAGGAGAGAAGAGTGACGGGGGTGGGGACATACCGCTCTCTCCCTGGCCCTTGGGGTGGGGCACCTCAGGCACGTCGGTGGCATCTTTGTGCTCTGCAGCTCTCCTGGAGGTCCTGGTCTTGGTGGGCAGCTCTGGAGCCTGAAGCAAGGTGCTCGCGGCCCCTCGGACGCCTTGTTTCCCCAGCTCCTTTTCCACTTCTAAGAATCGCATGTGCACACAAACAAAAACTCAGCACCGTCAGTATCAGTCGGTTTAGCGTGAGGGTTCTCTCTTTCTTTTTAAAATAACAATGGTCATCTATACATGGCTAGAGAAAAGGGACACAGATGCTGGAGAAACAGCACTTGGTATTTCTCAGAAATCTCTACAGGGCTGCAGAAAGCAGACTGTCCGACACTGAACACCTCTGTCCAGCTTTCTGGTCTCAGATGGTTTGTGGGCCTATGAGCACTTCTCCCAGGAAGTGAACTGAAGGACCCAGGCTGGAGTCCCACATGGTCACCCTCAATCCAACCTTTCACCCCCCTTGCAGGTACCCTGGGGACAGGTACTTTACCATCTGAGATACTGGATTCCTGGAACATTGTTTCAAAGGCTTGGTGGATTTCAGCGAAGGAGGGCCGGTCAGAGGGATTCCACTGCCAACCTGGACAGATAAGACCCAAGTCAGACCACCCATGAGGCCTTGCTAACAACGAGAAGCTAGCAATTCTCAAGGAAAAGTCTGGAAATGAAAGAAGCGTGCCAATCCTGCTAACCATCTTTTGCTGTGACAAGTTAAAATGACAAATGCCATTGTGTCCTATTACAGATATTAAGAATTTGAAAAGACAATACATGCTGTCAGGAATATGGATTGTAGACGTTGACAGCAAGAACTGCATTTATAAATGTATTTCCTCAGCCCCACTCCAGCAGGTATAGGAAATTACTAAGCCAAACAGCTCACTTCTATCTCATCCTCACATCATGATTACCAAAGTCTGAAATCCTCATCAATAAAAAAACACTAATGAAAATAAGACTAAAATGAGGATTAAACAGATTGATAAAACCCAGTTCTGGGGAGCATGTGCAGTCACTCTCATACACTTCTGACAGGCGTATAAACTGGCACAACCATTTTGGAAGACGATTTGGTAAAATTTATCAAAATTTAAAATCCACACAATCCTTTGAACCCACAGTTCAATGTTTAGAAATACTAGTATAAGTACCCAGAGATATGCATGTATAAGGATGTTCATTCCTGCCTTGTTTATAATAGCGAAACCCAAACAAACGTATAAAACAACCAAATGCTCATCAAAAGAAGGCTGGAGAAATGAGTGCATTAAATCCTTTAATGGAATGCTAGGCAGCTATATAAAAATAAAAGGTGGGGGAAGGGAGAGAGAGATCTGAACATACAGACATGGAAAGGCATGCCTGTCATACTGCCGAGGGGAAAAAACACAGCGGAAATGATCATATAAATATCTTACAAAACATATGATAAAAAAGCAGATAAGGACACAGCATAACTAGACATATGTAAATAATATACGACTAACAGGATAAACATCATCTTGAGTGTTTAGCAATTATAGCAGAATGTCTGAAGGCAGGGCCCAGGAATCTGTATTTACTAATACGAAACCCAGGTTTGGTATCCACCAATCCCATTTTTGCTTAAAAAAATGTAAACAAGGCTGGGCACAGTGGCTCACGCCTGTAATCCCAGCACTCTGGGAAGCCAAGGCAGGAAGATTGTTTGAGCTTAGGAGTTTGAGACTAGCCTGAGCAAGAGTGAGACCCCATCTTTACAAAAATAGAAAAATTAGCCAGGCATGGTGGTACACCTGCTGTCCCAGCTATTCAGGAGGCTGAGGCAGGAGGATCGCTTGAGCTCAGGAGTTTGAAGTTGCAGTGAGCTATGATGATGCCACTGTATTCTACCTGGGGCAACAGAGCAAGACTGTCTCAAAACAAACAAACCAACCAAAAAAAACCTCACGAAAACAACTCACATATATACTACCTGTAAATAAAGGTATGTAGAACCACTGAAAAAGTCTGAAAAAATCTGTATCAAACTGCTATATTAGTTGCTTCAAAAGAATTGGAACAGAGAGAGCAAATGGAAAGACTTTAATTTTTTACTTTATATACTCCTGCATTGCTGGAACTTCTTACAGTGCCCACATATACTTTTAGAACAGGCTGGGGAAGGCTCACATGCTCGCATGAGTTCGTAGACCTTCTCTGGACAGCCTTCTGGGCGCTCCATGCGGTAGTCTTTCTCCAGCAGCTCATATACCTGGGACAGGTCAATTCCCGGGTATGGTGACATGCCATAGGTAGCAATTTCCCAAAGCAATACTCCAAATGCTAAAAGAAGAAAGAAAGAGAAAGGCTGTCCAAGATGTATAAGATTTAACCACATTGCATTTAATTGGTTACCTGTGCAACAGACATCAGAAGTTATGCACTCAGACACAGCCCAGGCACTGACATTTTGCCAGGCTCTTAGTCACAAATAGCCCAAGACAAAACAGGACAGAATGAGATTTTCAGTTTACTCATAACACAGACTAAAACATGGTAAAGGAGAGAGAACAACTGGGTTATAAGCCCCTCGAGGGTCTTTTAAGTAATGTGGCCATCTTGATGGGATATGTGGTGGAAGGAACCTCGGGCTGGATGTCAGATGACCAACGCCTGAGACTGGCCATCACTCCTTTTCAGGTGTGTAAGATTATCTCCAAGGCTCCTTCCAACTCCAAAAAGCCATAAAAATCTTAGGAGGTCTTTGAAAGTTTTCAAATCCCAGATTATGGCCTTGAAATTCCATTTCCCATTAAAGGAACCAGGACTCCTTAGACAAACTGTCTGGGGCAGGGAATGAACCTAGAATATATTGTCATTTCAGAGAGCATGGATGTCATGGAAGACTATAAGGGTAATGTCAAAAGGCCTAGGAACTAATCTGAAGTTTCCACTGGAAGATGAGACAATCTGGATATCAACAGGGAAAATAACTGCAGTCGATGGAAACACATTAAATATACTTAAATCTAAGAGTTCATAATAATATTACAAAAGAAAACAAAAACAAAAAACCCTAATTGGTCACCATTGAAGAATATTAAGAAACCAACTTATTATTTCAAAAACTGGTAAATAAAGGCAAAGGAGCAGGAATTTAACCTGCTTTTCCTATATGAACTGACCAGTGTGTAACCAAACAGATGAAGGGCAGTTTCTTCTTGCAGAAGTAGTCCACTAATAAACGAATCAGGAATGACAGAATTAGAGAATTACCATCTGGCAACCCCTAGCAAACTATCAGATCTAGGCTCTGGGTATCAATAACTGCTAAAAATCACAAAAAGGGAGAAAATCAAGCATTATGTAACTACTGATGGCAGAGCATGCCACCTCCTGACATACTCTTACTAAAAGAAAGAAAAAGCCAAACCTGAATGTGATCAAACTGTCTAGTGCCAACTACCCATTTACCAGGAGTACTGAAGCCAGAGGAGCAGATTAGATCGCACTGTGGATGCTGTGAGCAAAACCCAGTTGTGGGAAACTCTCAGAGACATGTGAGGGGGGGTTTCTTCAATAAATACATGGCAAGGGAGATAAAGACACGGAGAGGGAGCTCACAGATTAGAAGAGACTGAAGTGACAGAGCAACTAACGCACCGTTAACCGTAATTGGATCTCAGTTCAAACACTTTTAAAAAAAAGTGTGATTTTTATGGTTCAATTGAAAGTGTGAACACTGAATGCATATTTGAAAATATCAGAAGTAACTGCCAATGTTGGGGGTAGCAATGTTATCATGCTAATAAAAACGTCATCTTTAAGAGACTCATACTGAAATACTTCTGTGCAAAATAATGTGATGTCTGGAATTTGCTTCAAAGTAGTAAGGGTAGGGAGCGGGTGGGGCCCAGAGGAAGCAAGCGCACCATGAGGGGTCACCAGCGTGGGGTGATGGGCTTGGCGTGGGGGGTGTCACTGTACAACTCTATTATCTTCAGTGTAGGCTTAGAATTTGTCATAATAAAAAAAAATTTTTTTAAATTGTCACGAGACTTCTAAACAGCTTCTAAGCTTCTACCCTGCATTGGGGAAGATCCTAGGTGCCTGCAGGGTCAGCTAGCTGCCCGAGCAAATCCAAAATCCAAGCAGCAAACTTAGAATGAAGACATAAAGAAAAGAAAAGGAAAAAAATGATTCTGGATTATTTAGGAATAAAAAGTTCACTTTTACTTCATTTTGAAAAGAAAACAAGAGAACGGATTTTCAAATTAGAGAGGAAGACACAAAAGAAGAAGGAGAATTAAGTAATGAAGAGAAGAAAAAGAAAGGGAAGAGCAACAAAGAGGCAGTAAAAAAGCCAGGAGAGAAGGAAAGAAAGCCTCCCGCAGCAGGCGTGACGTCCTCCCATGAGCAGCCCTTACCCCAAACGTCAGACTTGATAGAGAACTTGTTGTAGGCCAGGCTTTCAGGCGCCGTCCACTTGATCGGGAACTTGGCTCCGGCGTGGGCTGTGTAAGTATCCCCTGTCATTAACCTGCTCAGGCCGAAATCAGCCACCTTTACCAAGTGGTTCTCACCTACCAGGCAGTTTCGGGCAGCAAGATCTCTGAGAAAGGAAAAAGTTCACCCATGAGAACTCCTGGCCAATTTTCTAGTTTCGTAAATCTACTGCTGCTGAGCAAAGGTGCAACCCTGACAATGGAAAGATTGAGTCTGGTCCCCTAGAAACTTGTGCTAACACCCCACTGGGAAGCAGCGCCAGTCCCTCAGCAAACACACCGTGATCTCCCACCCTGGGGAGAGGCAGCAGAGGCACTGGGAGTGGGCTCCTGGGCCGTGTGACCCGCAGCAAGTTAATTACCTTGGGATTCCGTTACCTCATCCGTAAAATGAAGATGATAACAGCAGTGCCTATCTCTTTGGGTTGCTGTGAGGGGTAATGAATTAATATGCAAGGTGCTTAGACCCAGGCTGAAGAACAGTAAGTGTTACTGCTACTCTATGCCGGGCATGGGGAACAAACACTTAGCCTAGTCCTCGATCCCGAGAAGCTTGTATCAGAGTGAGTCTCCGCTTGTCCTATCCAGACTTGACAGGGAAAAATAAAATAAAGCCCATGGCATTCTTTACCCAAATTGTGTTTCCTACTCTTTTTCTTCCTGATGCTTACCCAAATGTATCCTAAAAACTCTCTCCTGCATAATCTGCCTCCTCTCACCTCCTGATTCTCCCAGGGAGGCAGGAGTCTAATCTTTGCTTTGTGAATGTTAACTACAAAACCACAAGGCAAACTGGAAGAGAGGAATGGGAAGAGGCAGCACTTACGGTGATGGCTGCATGAGATAGCCTGATCGTCAGCAGTGAGAGAGAAATACAGAAGAGTTGTGCTAATAGGATTTTGGTAAAGCATCTTAAGTTTGCCTGAATGAAGAAGGAACAGACCTAGCCATGCAAGGCAAACCAGAAGTCAAGGCATCTCAATCTGCAGCATCAGAGGGTTCACTTGCCTGACTGCCATGAGCATCTGGATCAGGCTATCGTGGAGCATAGAAAATCTGTCTTGCTAGGAGCTGCCAGCATTTCACACATGCTACTCTTATTCCTCGCTATGAAATCTCATGTAGAGGTTTCACACCTGAGTTAATTGGGTAGGAAAGGTCACAATGGTGGTGTGGAAAACATCTTGTATGAAAGACTCCAGCAAAGCCCATCAGGCTCTGTCTTGCATAGGCCGTCACTTTGCTAGGAAGCCATTTCCACCAGTAAAGAATGCGAAGACCAAGATAATTGTGGCACACTTGAAGGTCAAAACACTCCAGGGTTTACAACAGCAAAGACACTTAATTTCGGCCTACATATATACAATTCCGACAATCATGGAAACATCCCTGAACCAGATGACAGCAAGTTAAGTGGAGAATGAAATGATAATAAAGAGAAAGGAGAAAAAAACCCACACACTAAAAAACAAAACCCGTGCACTGGCCATTATCATGAGTTTGTGTAAAAGCAACGCCAACTGCTCCCAGAAAGAGGTCATTACTGATGAACACTGGCCTCGCAGAACAATGAGCGCTCCATTTCAGGGGGAGCTGTGATTGTCAGGAAGGATGCCTTCTATGAACTTCATTTAATATTCTACTTAGCCCAAAATGGTTCAGAAATGAAATATTTTTTCACCCTGGGGATGAACTGCTTTGTAGGTCCAGGGTCTAGGCCTGGCTGAATTTAGCCCTGGATGCGGGCCTGAAGCTGGCTGTGTCAGGGACCCAGTGTTTGCCTTTCCAAGGCGCACTGTGCTGCCAGCACTGAGGTTAGAAGCTGAGTCCTAAGACCTTGCAGGTTGGGCCTTTGCACAGGCTGCCTGACTCCACACTCTGTGGCTCCGCAGCTTGGGCTGCTTCGCCAGGCCTCTACCTGTGGATGAAGTTCTTCTTCTCCAGGTACTCCATGGCTGACGAGATCTGAGTAGCCATGTACAGCAGCACCACAGCATTCACCTCCTGCCGGTTACACTCTCTCAGATAATCCAACAGGTTCCCATAGGTCATGAACTCGGTGATGATGTAGAACGGGGGCTCCCGGGTGCAGACCCCTGCCAATGAGACACTGAGGACTTTAGCACACGGCTCTACTCCTGACTGAACAAACACCTTTCTAAAGAAAAAGGCTTCTGGCCGGGCGCAGTGGCTCGCGCCTGTAATCCTAGCACTCTGGGAGGCCGAGGCGGGTGGATCGTTTGAGTTCAGGAGTTCGAGACCAGCCTGAGCAAGAGCGAGACCCCATCTCTACTAAAAATAGAAAGAAATTATTTGGACAACTAAAAATCTATATAGAAAAAAAAAAAATGAGCCAGGCATGGTGGCGCATGTCTGTAGTCCCCGCTACTCGGGAGGCTGAGGCAGAAGGATTGCTTGAGCCTAGGAGTTTGAGGTTGCCGTGAGCTAGGCTGACGCCACGGCACTCTACTCCAGGCAACAGAGTGAGACTCTGTCTCAAAAAAAAAAAAAAAGAAAAAGAAAAAGGCTTCTGAAATGGATTCTGACTCTGCCCCTAAGCCCTGGGCCCAACTTCTGCCGTGGTTCCAAGCACCTGTGCCTTGAGACTGTGCTCCTGTGGGAGGGACATGGCCATGCTCTTTTTTTCCTCTCAAGCCAATGAACTTGAATTCACACAGGGAGAGGCTGCCATGAGTTCAGAAGCAAAGACCAGGCCCCACACTAAATGACCTAAACCACTGTGAATTTACCCCCAAATCGCTATGCCTGATGATCATGTCTACTTACAAAATCACTTCAGTGAAAAAACTCTTGAAATTCTTAAGTTTCAGAAGCCAATTTCAGATTTGCATTTGACTGCTTTTAGGTATCCATTTAAAATAATCGCATATTCTCTCACACACACGCACACACACCCCCATCCCACGAAGGGGATGCCCTTTTACCAGCAGCTAGCTGTTGGCAGAGCAGAGATGTCCGCATCAGAACCAGTAATGCAGGGAGCTGCCTCTCACTTCTTTCTCAGCGCCTGTGTTGCCCCAGAGGGTTTGAGCATAAGCCCCTCTCTTCAGAGCGCCATGCTTACTCACCCAGTAGCTGCACTAGGTTAGGGTGCTTGATCTCCTTCATCACTGCAGCTTCTTTCAAGAACTCTTCCACCTCCATGGTGTCCTCCTACAGAAGAAAAAAAGCCAGTGGTGAAATAATTTCAGCAAGTTATGTGGGAAAGTACAATTTGAATGGTTAATGTAAATTGGAGCTTCAACGTACTCATCCTTGGCCACCTTTTGTGGCAGCCACATTGCTCGGACAGGTTCCATGACAGCTGATCATCACCCCAATGGCACAAAGAATTTTCCTCTTTGGTGCTGAACATTTGAATTCTCACCCAGGCCAACAGGTCAAAGCTGGCTTGCATGTGCTGATGGCTTGCTTGTGCTGGCTGCTGTGCAGACCATATTTGTTTCCCCACCTTTTGGAGTTTGTGGCGGGGAAGCAAGGAGGAGATGTGCAGAGGCAGACACTACAAACATGGGGCTACTTTCCTAAGAAACATCTGGTTTCCAAGGGGTCCTAACACAACATAAAGAAAACATCACTTGAAGAATCTGAAATGTACCTGATTTAAGGGAAGAGACACTGATGACAGAAAGAGATGGTGCATTACCAAAGAAGAACGATGCTTCAAAACATGGCGGCAACAGAAGACGCGGCAATGCTTAAGCATGTGGTGTTACGGGGCTCTTAATGACGCAATCACCACTATCTGTCAGGTCAATCACTCAGATTCTAAAATAATCCTCACCAGCAGCTCCCCTAACAGCGAATTCACAACTATCATCAGTACACATCGCATTTCAACAAGTCCACAGTATCTAAATGCCAAGGGGGAGAAACAGATATTACCAAGGGCCCAGCACAAACGGAATACTATTTCTACATTTCTTCGCATATTTTTGGTCAAGGGTCAAGCCCAAAATGCTGTGGTGCCTGGCCCTGTGGCTTGGCTTATGTCGGTAAGCCTCTTTCTGACTTCAAGTCACTGTCTTCTGAACCCATCAACAAAACAAGCAGCAGGTCAGTGTTAAATAACATGGTCTATTCTGCTGTAAGAACTTGGCTATGAAGGCCAAAGAAGGAAGCGAGACACCTCCAAGTTTCGATGTGGAGTTTGAGTGTGCCTGAAGAGAAAGATCACATGGGGGGGACAGCGAGTGGACGTCTTGAAAATTGGGCTCCCCAAAGAGGAAAGCTTTATCAGCTTTCTGTTAAATGTGGAACCTTATACATTGTTCCTGCCCCTTCGGGAGACAAAATGCCAAAGTGTCCTTGCTGTACTCACTGCTGCACCAATTTCTCCTCCTGATGTGGGGAGGCGTCCAGAGGACGGGTCAACCTTTACTTTAGAGGCGTCCTGCTTTTGGTCAATCCTGCTATGAGCACAGCACGACCAACGAGGCTACGTGTCAGCCCATCACCACTCAGCTTAGGGCTCATAGAGACTGAAACTTAGAAATAATTTATTGCTCTTTAAAAAAAATGGTGAGCTGGTCTTAATGTCAATTAAACATCGTTGGTAGTCACTGTGCCAAGCTATACGGGGGGTGGAGGGTGAGGGGGACTCGTCCTGCCGCTGCCCATGGGCTGTTTGATTATTTCGAGTCCTTTCTGCTCCTTAACGTGCTCAGCAGACCATGCTGCTCTTGGCATGGAGTGCTCTGATTTACCGGGGTGACATGCTAATGTCAAAGGCTGGAGCGAGAACGCCTGCCAAAATCGGGCCTTTGATGCTGCTCACGTAGAGGACTGGGGTGTTAAGAATCTTGCTTGGCCAACAATATGTTCAAAAAGTAGCTCTCAAATAAAGTTTTCTAGACGAGTGGAGTTTTTCTTTTTTAAAGCACCACATAATAAACCGTGCACAGTGAAATCATTTCGGAAATATCATTTGCTTTTATAGCCACTGACCCTTTTCTAAAAGACCCATGTTATAGATCTCGAGAGGCACGAACATGCAGAAGGAACAGCACGGCTTTCAGAGGCATCTGTCTCCTTTCTCTCTCTCTCAGTGAGTAAAGCATCATTCCTTGTTTTTCTTTCAGAAAAATCAGTGCGAATTTGTCTCCCCCTGCTGGAATCAGACCTAGTTCAATTTATAATTTATTAATATTAACAGCAACCCACATTTGTAGTTGTGTTAAACTGGAAATATTCCTGATGAAATCCTGTGACATTCCTTTACTTTTATTTTAAAATTTCCTATCATTCTTCTGCAGAGAATTCATTGACATAGTAAAATAGTACTAACTCAAATGAATTAGGGTGAAGGAAACGTTTTGAATGAAAGCTGTGAATTTCCAGCCTTGTCTCTTCTGTGCCCGTTAGGGAGAGAGACGGGTCAACTGGCCTCTCCTCACAAGGACTGACCGGCCCGGCCCAGATGCAAATGAACATTTTGGATGGTACAGCGGGGTGGTCAAGAGGATGCTATACCAACCTAGCTCTGCTGCTGTGCAATCACGATAAGTTACTTACCCTCTCTGAACCTGTTTTCTCATCTGCACAACAGAAGGAATATCAGGCTCTACCTCACACACACAGAGTGCCAAGAGCGGTGCCTGGAACGCAGCCGGCGCTTGATCAGGGGTACTCACTTTCATTACTCTGAAGACAGTTATCTCTATTCCTGAGAAGTAGACTAAACATATTGCTTGTGTGCAGGAAAGGCTGGTTCTGTAATGAATACTTTTTTTTTGTCTTCTCACAGATACGTTCTCCCAGACTTGACCTCTCACAGATATTTTCTAATCAGCTTCCTCCTTTTTGCTCACCCCCAAGTGTAGGTATTCTACAGCATGAAAAGGAGCACTGTTTTGGAAATGGCTGGGCCTTCTGGAAGTTTCTGCACAGCCTTTAGGTTCCCTATGCCTCCCTCTCAGCAGGGAGGCATACAGCTCTTATCTACAGATAGATCAGTTTCCACATCTGTTTCTGGTTTTTAACCGATGCCAGGTGAGCAAGGTTACAAGCACAGTGAAGTGCTGCCCTTCACCTGTCAGATGGACCAGGGGCAACGCGATTAAAAGCACAGTGGAGAGATGGCGCAGAGCTTCCGTGCCAGACTGAGGAAGGCAGATCAGACACCAGATGTGGGGCCTGAAGCTCAAGTGCAATGCCCATGAGAAGCCCAGAGGAGGCCCAGGAACTCTCATCCCTGACAGCGTGACTGCATCTGGCCCCTTGGCCAGAGGAGAACCCACTGCGAGAAATGATTATCTTGCAAGAGCAAGTGCAACACAGCAACAGCAGGCTCTGAGTTGCGTGGCCTCTCTCCCTGACGCGTAGCCCTCCTTGTAGAGGTGGAGAGCCACTGCATGTACAACCGCCAGGCGCTAATGCTGTCATGCAGCCCTTCCTTCTCTGATTGTTTCTGGAGCTCCCCAATGAAACCAATTTCTTAGGAGAAAAGAATAAAACCAAACACACTGTGCTGGGTGGAGTAAACAGGCGCTTTCTCAACCTCGTCCATGGAGTGCAAACTGGTGCGAGCTCCTTGGAAGGCACTTTGGCAGTACAATCAAAATCATACGTGCCCACGGCCCTGATCCAGTAGTTCTGAGGAGCTGACCCAGCAGGACAGTTTCACATACGTGTAAACGAGGATAATCCCCGTGGCACTGTTCACGATACCAAAACACTGGGAATAACGCAAAGGCCCACTGAGAACTGGTACACCCTGAAATATATCCACACAGAGACAAGACAACTTTCCATGTGCTGGTAAGGACAACTGCCAAGATACATCACGTGGACAACAGAAGGTATGGAGCAGTGTCTACAGGATACTGCCACATGGTTAAAAAAAGATTCGCACATCGAGGACTCAGGAAAGACATAAAATCAAGGGTGGGAGTGTACTATGTGCACATATTACCTATCTGAAAGATTATGCTGTGTTATTTTCCACTGTTTTAAAAGTAAATCTGTCACTTAGCTCATGAGTCAATCTGAGTGCCACAGCTAGGTCAACAGTAGTCTTTTCCAAATTCTGTTACTTAGAGAACTGTTTCATAGGGGAAAAAAAAAGACTTACAAACTTTTGGAACATAGCTCATTTTAAGATTGGGACTTCTTGGCTGGGAGCAGTGGCACATGCCTACAGTCCCAGCTACTTGGGAGGCTGAGGTGGGAGGATCACATGAGCCCAGCAGTTTGAGACCAGCCTGGGCAACACACTGAGGCGCTGACTCAAAAGACAATTGGGGCTTCTTGTACTTGATGGTTGGTTCTCTTAAGCACGTTCTGCCTTTAACGCAGATCACAAGCACACAGGCACAGCAAGGCGTATGTCCTGCCAAACACTGTCAACAAAGGAGCAGGTCCCCTGTTTCCCATCCACAGGGGTCAGCCCAGTGCCCTCCTCTTCTCATGTGCTCTCTGCTAGGGAAGTGACCACTGTCAGAAGCAGGGCCTTGCTTCCCCTGCTGGTCACGGAGGATTCTGGCTCTGTCCTCAGAGGGGTCAGCGACAGGAGACTAAGAAACCCAGAGATGTGTTGAGGGAATGAAGCTTTGGCTAGAGTTGCAAATGTTTTTCAAGGTGCTTTGAAGAGAAGGTAGATTTTAGCTACAGCCCGTGGGAAGTAAATGTGAGAGATGAGCAAAAGGTATAACTGTGGTTTATGTTTATTTTCATGGTGTTTGAGGAATAAGAACCTGAGTTACAATTCAAAAAAAAAAAAAAGAGTTAGGCTTTAGAGTTGGCTGCCTGTGTTTGAATCCTGGCTCTGCCATTCCTAGCTGTGTGAGGCCAGGCCAGTCACATAACCTCTCTCTGCTTCAGTTTCCTCAACCTTAAAATACTGATCCAGGGTGAATGTCCCTTAGGTGAAATGCTTGGGACCAGAAGTATTCTGGAATTTGAATTTTTGGGGATTTTTTTTCATATTTGCCTTATACTTACTAGTTAAGCATCCCAAATCTGAAATCTGAAATCTGAAATGTTCCAACATGTATTTCCTTTGAGCATCATGCCAGTACTCAAAAAGCTTCGGATCCTGGAGCAGCTCAGGTTTTGGATTTTCAAATTTGGGTTGCTCAACCTGTAATATTAGTACCCTTCTCTTAAGGCTGTGAGGATTAAATGAGATGCAATATATAATAAGCATTCAAGAACTCTGCCAGGCACATAAGAGCTCGATAAACATGAGCCATTACTGTAATTTAGAACCCAAAGTTCTCAACTTCTGTAGTGGAAATAAATGCCCGCAATATTGATACTAATCTTATTTGACAAATAGGCAACATATTGTAGGGATGGTTTTTTGTGCAGGGCCAGGCGGAAGGAGGGATAATTTCTTTAGCAATTGTTTAGTAGCATATTTTGAGTTAACATACCAGTAGAAAGGGATATATTGTCTTTCCCATAATTAGATACCACTTGGGGTGACTATTCAAAGAAATCCATGCAACTAGACCCTGTAATTCTTTAACTACTATTAATTAGGCTCTTGGGAAAAATCATTAAAAGTATAATAAAAACTCTAATAATACATTATTAGTAAAGCATATTCTGAAAGGCACCCACTTCTAGACAATTCTGCTTCACTGGGCTAAGAGCTGCCGCTACACCGAGCTCCAGCCGGCCCCCTCCAGAAGCCTCTCCCTTCAGTTGTTCAGTAAATAGTGCTGTAGCATCATCTACTGAAGTGGGTTTCTCCACATTTCAGATTATGTAAGCTCGTCTCCTGTAAAAGTTTTCAGACAAGCCGTTACTGGTTGAAATCCAGTGTATTTTGTGCTTTCGGTCTTCCTTGTTTCGTTTTTGCAAATCCTGGTATTTGAGTGGGTGATGTCCGGGCCTTTCCCAGTTTATCGAGCTGATCAAGTCCCCATTTCTCTGGGCCTAGTCTTCAAGCCCGTGTCAGATGGAGCACTTGCACAGCCCTCTCCCTGCACTCACGTGGTCTGTGGAATGGGAGGCAATGGTTGTTTTGTTCTTTCTGTTCTTTATTTAAGGATAGTGACCTAAACTGCACGTGTTTAAAAAGATAGGAGTTGATTACAAAACTTGGCTTACTGGTATAAAAATCTGTTACCCCAAAACCACAGGCGATCGACATCTGTGAGGGTGGCCGTATCCCCAATACACTAGCCGCTGAGTACTGGAGCTCTCCAACATGAAGACCTTCAAGAACTCACATGAGTCCCGTTATTCCTGTGCACCAAACCTCTCAATGGCTCCCCACTTCCTTCAGGATAAAATCCCAGCTCCTCAGCTGAGGTTCAAGGCCTCTGTGACTTACTGCGCCCCTCCCTGACCCCAGCCTTTCTCCCTTGACCAAGGCCCACTCCTTCACCACAGCCCTGGCTTGCAATTCCCTAAATGCTTCCTCCCAGCCACGCACAGCTCCCCTGTCCCTCCTCTGCTCATCCCTGCGTGGAGCCGCAGCCCTGCGCGTGGGCCTCCACTGCTGCACTGCAACCCTTGTTACTCTGCCTGTTTTTCCTACTGCCCAGACCACCCCGTGCCCAAAGGGAAGGACTCTGTCCGATTCATTTTCTAATACCGGTGTTGAGCCCAGGGTCCAGCAAATAGAAATGAAGAACTCAATAAGGATTTATTCAATCAAGAAAAAGTTCCACCTGGGAAACATCCAGGAGTCCTCAAGGTGACCCCAAACCATGCCACCCCCAAGTGCGAGCCCTGCCCCAGAGACAGGGGCACATGCTGAATGTGGGTATCGGGAAGCCACCTTTGGTTTCTAGGACCAAAGAACGTGATCTTTTCTCTAAAGCAGCTCAAACTGTAAACCAGCCAGAAATCATATTTCCCATTTTACTGAGCCTTTGAGGGAAGGCACCAGGTAAGTCACAGAGTCCCTAGCAGGTAAGCATTTGGCTGCACCAGTCTCAACATGTGCACCTGACTTTTGAGACACACACACAAACTTGAGTCTATTCTTCCCAGTAGTGGATGTTTCTGTTCTTTTTCTTTTCTCATAGCTACAAAAAGGGGCTCCCTCTCTCCATTTCTGTGCACAGATCAATGCAATCAAAACTCATTTAAAACAACTGAAAATAAAGCAAGTCAACACTAGGGGGCACCCTTACCACAGGGAAGGCTCAGATCACATTCTGAAGGCAGAGGATTGAAAATAAAAACCTCCTTCCCTTGGCATCCTAAGGATTTCAAAGAACTTCAAAAGAAAAAAAAAAAACTACCTGGAAACTACAAACACTATTCATTAGTCAAGAGGGTGAAAGTCCCAGTTAACAAGAGAGACTAGGCTGTATCTGAGTTGGTAAAAAGTGAGTTTCCTGATGCCTTTCTGTTGGAAGCACTTCCACCTCTGCTTGCAGAAGAAGTCTGGGCACACAACACAGAGAATTAAAACCTGCTGGGAACACCCAGTGCACTTGCCTTCAAATCTGCCAACAAAAATCAACAGAAGAGTCAAATGCATTTTGGTTAAACTTCCTTTCAAAACCCAGAGGTTTTTTTCCTTCCTCCTCTTAACTCTCAGTAGGAAGTGATCTCCATGACACACAAACAGAACGGAAACCCACAGCTTTAAAAGAATCTTGCCATAGAATGAGAAAACTTCTCCAAATGACTAATCTTTTTAAACCCCAAACCCTCGGCACTTGTCAGCTCTCACCGTATGTGGAAACACACTGGGGTTATGAGAATGATTCAAAGAAACAGACAATGTAAGACTGAGGAGTCAATTACTCAGCACCAACGAATGGGGGCAGGACTCGTGGAAGGCACGTCACGGCACGCCAGCAGACACCGCGCACCAGGTTGAACCGAGGGTCGGCATCAGTGGTTCTAACTGGGCCTACCTTCAAGGTCTTCACGGCCACTGTCAGGCTGTACTTCTTCCACACGCCCTCGTACACCTCCCCGTACTGGCCCCCGCCCAGCTTGTGCTTCATGGTGATGTCTGTGCGCTCCATCTCCCACTTGTCGTAGTTGGGGGACACGCCGTAGACAGTGGGCTTGTTGCGCTTGGGGGCTGGGTAATGGAGAGTGGTGATGAGCCCGTCAGCTACAGTTGAATGATGATGAACCAACTCGGCCAGAGTGTTGAAGCGGCTCTCCGAGGAGACGTAGAGCTGAGGAAAACAGGGAACAGCTATTAGGCCACAGAGCAGATGCAATTTCAAATGACTCAAATAAACCAGTCTGGGCCTTAATATAGTGCATAGCAAAACTCAGATAAACAGCTGTCCACACAGGACTGAGTGTTTAGAAAATCACTTATATTGTCTTTCTCTACACACGCTACAGTTTACTTGCCAAAGCAGAAAGACACAGTAAAAGGCCTCAGGGCCTTTGCACCTGCCACTGCTCCCTCTGCCTGAAATCCTCCAGTCCCTAATCTTCACATGCCCAGTTCTCTCTCACCATTCCCAGGCCAGTTTAAACGTCTGTGGAGTTGTCCCTGACTACCCGATCTAAACTCGCCACCATCGCAAGTCATATCACCTGTCTTCTATGTGCTGGACTTGACCATCAGCTGACAATTTCTGTTTATTTGTTTCATTACTGTCTGTCCCTACTTAACAGTATGTAAGTTTCATGAGGGCAGCGCCCTAAGCTGTCTTTGTTATCCTGTACCCCCAGTGTTGAAAACAGGAAATGAGCCACATAATGGATACTCAATAAATAGCTGTTGATTGGAAAAGAAAATAATTTATATAATTTATAACTAAAAATGGATAAGCATAGAACGAAAAGTGATCACAAGACGAACATCACTACACACAGTGTAAATCTCCTCTGCATTCCTACCCCCTCACTTTGGCCTGAGTAGGAAGCACCACCGGCCATGACTTGCAAGTCCAGGTGGGATGCCCCTCTCAGCACTCTCCAGGAACAGAGCAGGGGCTCCGAGGGCCCCCCAAGGAGATCACACAGCCTTTTCCAACATGCGGAAGTAAACAGAAGGAATTTAAGACACAAGAGCATTTGAGTCCCTGTTTGAAATCTGCAGCGGGCGAGGACCTGTGTGGCAAACACGTCCACGCAGAGTTCTCGTCTGGACAACTGAGATGGAGAGGAAGGGGAGGAGCAGGCTGGCACAGAGCAATAATGTGGGGGGGTGGCGGCCACCGTTTGTCTTTGTCTTTTTCACTGGTGTGGAGAGAGAACGCTTCCTTACCAAAAACAATTCTACATTAAAATCCACACAGAACGTCTCGGCTCCAGGCACATAACTGAATCTACTGGCCTGCTCAGGGCAGCCAACCATCGCCGAAGGTGGAAAGAATATTTAAAATCACAGCCATTCGGCAGACTTGCCCAAACTGCACAGACGTGGGAAGGAGGAACACAGATCTGGGACAGTGGTGATGCCTGAGGTGAGAGGGAGGAAAGGGAACAGGCCCGAGCTTCAGCTACAGCTGTAAGGCCTTATTACTAAAAAACGGAAAGGGAAGAAAAAGCCTGAAATACACATGGGCAGGGCCAAGGCCTATGGCTATTGGTTATGTCAGGTACCATCACTGTAAGAAAATATTTTGAATAGAAGGAAAAAACAAAATACAAAGTTGATCTCATCTACAACCTTCAAGAGGGTAAACAGGATTTATTAACAAGGAGATTTTTCTCTTTTTTTCCTTCGTTTTTTTGCTTGGGGAGATGGCATAAGTAAATTTCTAAGACTCAGGCAAGCCAATGGCAAACTTTGGGCTTATAATCTTTTGGTAATAATTTTACTAAAATAAAATTCTGAGAAACCCAAGACCTCAGCTCTGGGGAACTTGCTCCTCACAAGACGACTGTGGCCTGGGGACACTGGCTTGTCCCTCTGCAAGACGGTGCCTCTGATTCGCAGGACTTTTCAGGTTGAGGAGGCCCCCGCTTTTTATATTTCAGAGTGCCCAAGAAAACCTTGGGGTGAACTACTCTAGGGACCTGCTATGAGTCACACTCGGACCCATGAACGTGCACACAAGCACGTGGGGTGGGCGGCAGAAGTCGACAATGCTGAGGCCTCCTGTTAGCTTAATGCCCACACGATCATGTCCACGGCGCTCTCCGCGGTTTAGTCACAGCACCTGTATCTGTGAAAACTGAGGAGCACGAGGGGATGGCTCCTAATCCCCGCTCCCCTGCACAAGTCTGTCAGCTTGTCCAGTGTCTTCACTGCATGAGCCTGCAAGTGCTCCAAGCCCTCTGCTCTCAGGTTAGCTCAGCTGATGGTGTTTTCCCTACAAGGAGTGTAGAGAACCAAGAGAGGCCATTCCAAGAAGTCATTCCTGGAATGAGAGCACCCTCCCACCTTGGAAATCACTGGTGTAGTGTGGGGCAAAAGAGCCTGTGTGGCTTGCTGGGCTCTGGGGCAGGGGACCTGGGAGCGAGGTTCATTAACCATTTCTCCCGTCACAGTCAGCCTGAAAGGAGCACTCCCCAACCAGAAGGTCAAGCTCCTTCAATCCTGCACAGAATGCTAATGGCTCCCCTAAGCCCCGGCTTATGCAGAATTTGTTCCTGGTCTCATGTGATTCTCTCACAGGCTACTCCATTAGAGATTTCAGAGTTACAGGAGGTTTCACTGAACGGGCCAACTTTATCCTCTTTAGTAATTAAATTTACAGAACCTGTGACTTAGTTCATCTTCAACATAAAACTTACACACCAACACTGACGAAATATTAAACCATCTCTCTCAAATGCTCTGCGTGTTGGATTCACCGCCATCTTCCTCCCCATGTCTCCCTAACAGTCAAGTCTGGTGGCTTCCTTCTGATTAGTTCTAGTTTTTGAGCAACATTTTGCTGGTGAACTGGGTAATCATCAGGAATTCGTGACATGCCCAGGGAAGAAAGTAAAGTTAGCTTCGTGAATGGCATGTCATTAAGCTACGCGCCTGGTTCCATAAACATTCAGGGTGCTCAGCCAGGGCTGCTGCCTCTTCCTAATTATCCCTGATCCCAAAAGACAGGACTTGTCAAAGAAACTCCCAGAAACAGCTTTCCTCCTGACAGCCACACTCACAGGCTTAACAGATCTTAAACTTGTGCAACCTTCAGCTGCCTCAGACCCTGGTGACCCACTGTGGACACACTGCTTACACGCTGCTCCCCGAGAGCTGCTCACTTACCAGCAGGAAGGCAGAAGCCCAGCGGTGCACAGTAATGTTCCAAGGCTCCTCCACAGGGCAGGTGAGCTGTGTGTAGCAAGCTTTTAACCGGGAGGCCTGCACCTGCTGAGCCACTCTCAGGGTGGGTAAACCTTAAAAATCTAAGAGGCTCCAAGTGGTCCCTTCCTGCCACTCTGATAAACCTTAAGCCCAAATTCCACTCTTGTCACCCTGAACCTGTCACTTCAGCAGACCATGAAAATAAATGCCAACTGGGCATATCTTTCAAGAAAAGGGAAAACTCTATCACGGGCTATAAGGAACCGAAGAATCTGACAGTGGCGTCTCACAGAAGTAAATGAGGTGTAGATACAAATATTCAGAACTAACAATGACTCAGGCAGAGGGTGGTGAAGAAAAATCAGTCTTTAATTCTGCTATGTCGACAGAGGGTTACAAACTTTGGTAAAGTATCAGAAGAATGACAAGCAAGCCCCTGAGTATCTGAAGATTTTTAAGACTATGGACATCCTAGCAAACAGCCATGGCACAACCTTTCAAGAGTCCAACTCAAAACTCCCAGAGCCGCCAGGCCCGGGGCGGAATGACTGGCCACACCTGAGGCTGAAAAGCGCGGAACACAGGGAGGGGCAGGCAGGAGCCAAGCAGGTGGAGGCACAGAGAGATCCTGGGGCCTTATGGAGGAACCTTCCAAATTCAGTTGTTTTCTGAAGATTAGCTAATTTAAAAATAAGAATTGTACTTATTCAACCCCAGCCTGTCCCTCCTACTAATCTTAAATTTTCCCCTTTGAAACCCGAAAAGCACTGCATCAAGGTTCTGCTATGTGAGAACCATTTTCAGCGCCACGCCACACTGTCTCACACAGAGCTGGAGTATCTCCCCACTCTAACACTGTTCACTCATCCCAGACACAACCCCCTCCAGCATGGCCCTCATGCAAAGGAACCTCTGCAGAAGGTCAGTGGGCTGAGAAGTCTCCAGGTGCTGAGACAGCTGATGGAAGAGTCTTTGCCAGGGAGAGAGGGAGGAGGCCTAGGAAAGTCTTAAGAGTTGCCCAGTGGTGGACATTGACTGATCAAATCAATTCCCTGTGCTTTGCCTGGAATGAAAGGAACCCACCTGGCACATAACAGCTTTTAGACAGAGAACGGGTTGGCTTCCTCTTTGGATAAATCTAAAATTCTGCAAATCATGTATCCCATATGCAGGCCTTTCTTTGCCCTTTTGAACAGTATTTTAGACCAACCCCTAGCTAATGAGTTGTCAAACTAGATCACGCCTGCCTGCATCTGTTCCAAGCCTGCTGATTAAACAACTCTAGGGAAAAGAAACCATTATCCTGTTCAGTAGAAACCTCAAGTGATTATCTTGGTACAGCATGACTTGCCTTGGATAAACAGCACAGATGGGAAGCAAGCTGTCCACTCCAGAAAATCACCTCCCATGGGCAGTGTGCCGTGGTGTTCTGATTCACTAGAAAGGTACTCTGGTGGTCTGAAGGCTCTTTCAAAGGGCCCACCTCCCTGGAGTACAGCCCACAGAATGGAAGGGCCTAGCTCCACATCTGGGATGAGAACAAAGACCCAAAAAGCAAGCTGATAAGGCCCATCTCTAGTCGCACATCGACAAGAGGCTCTGCTGTCTGTCATACAAACCACAGTGCTGGTACTAAAGACATTTGTGATGATGGAAAGCATCAGATACTGGCAAAAGGACTTTAGCCAGAAGACTTTGAGACATGTTAAGAAAACAACATTTTAAAAAGAAGTATATGTATGTTCATATGGTAAAATGAAAGTGTGAGCATAGCCAGGAAAATGGTGAAAAGATTAAGACGGGCAACAGACATGGGGGTGCATGCCTGTAGTCCCAGCTACTCAGGAGGCTGAGACATGAGGATCGGTTGAGCCCAGGAGTTTGAGTCCAGCCTGGGCAACATAGCATGACTCTGTCTCTAAAAAGAGAGAAAAAAAAAGGTAAAGAGGGGACTAGGCCTACCAGATATTAAAACATAGTATAAAGCTATAGCAATCAAAAGTTTGGTGCTGGCATGTGGTTAGACCAAGGAAGAGAACAGAGATCTATAGGCCTAAATATATACATAAATTTGATATATTTCTAATATGTAGGAAAAAGATGAATTTAATAAATGGCATAGGCTGACTCAAAATATAACACATGCATATTAAACATGAGATACCATTCTTTACCAATCAGAGTGACAAAGACATTTTTACAAGTCTAATAATAAACTGTTGATGAGGGTGAGGGGAAACAGGCAGAACAAATTTGTATAATTTCTATATGGGGTGATTTGGCAATATCTACACAAATTTTCAAAGCACATAACCTTCAATCAGTTCTAGCAACTTATCTGCATATACTTACACTGCACACAAATACCGTGCAGTGTATTTTCAAGCTGCTGGTCACAATCCACTAGTGGGTCTATGAAATAAATTTAGTAAATTTCAACCAAAATTTATAAAATATCAGAGTGCCTTACATGCGGTAACGGTAAACACGGTTTCATGAAACTTCTCTTACTAGTGTGAGTACCGGGACGTGATGTCAATGTGCTTTTCTTACAATGGGCCCGGATTTAAAAAGAGGTTTGAGGTGGGCATTCACACCTGTAATTCCAGCACTCTGCGAGGCCGAGGCAGGATCATTTGAGGCCAGGAGTTCAATACCAGCCTGGGCAATAGCGAGACCCTGTCTCTACAAAAAATAAAAAAATTAGCCAGGCATGGTGATACATGCCTGTAGTCCTAGCTACTCGGGAGGCTGAGGGAGGAGGACTGCTTGAGCCCAGGAATTTGAGGCTGCAGTGAGCTATGATACGCCATGGCACTCCAGCCTGGGCAACAGAGGGATACCCTGCCTCAAAAAAAAAAAAGTGGGGGGGGCACTTGAAAGCCATCTCTTATCAGCATTATTTATAATAACAAAAGATTGAAACCTAAAAGCTGACCAGCAAGGGACTGCTTATATAAATAATGGTCCCTCTGTGCTGTGCTACACAGTCACTGATAAGAATGTGACAGCTCCAAATGTTGCCATAAAACAATCTCCAAAATATATTATTAAATGAGAAAAGCAAGATGCAGAACAGTGTGGAGTATGCATCATTTCTGTCTTTTTAAACATAAACCTATACACATCAGGTGACTGCAAGACACTGGTAAGTGCAGTTGCCTCTGGGCAGGAGGTCTGAATTAGAAACAGAATTATCTTTCACTGTTAATTCATTTTGGTCTATTTATTTTTTTAGCCCTGTGCGTGCAGTACATATTATAAAAAATACACACACCATCTGGCCCACCCTGAGAATCCACCTATCTCCCCATCCCTCCACCACAGCCTGGTGAGGCAGAGTGGACAGTGGGACCCAAGCCTAGTTCCCATGAGTGACTCACTCTGCGATCCTGGGCAAGAAACTTCATCCCTCTCAGCTTCCCTTTCTTTAATGCAAAAATGCAGATTACAGTGGGACCTGCCCAGAGGACTAAGGTGAGGTTATGTGAGATGATGATGGCAAGATGCCCCAGCATACAGTAGGAACTCTGTAAGGGTTAATTTCTCCCTTCCCTTCATGGAGCCTTAAGGACGATTTATACCAAGACCACAAAACTATATATGCCAACTCCTTTACAACACTGTAATTTGGGCTTAGAAATCTATGGGTATAAGTGATCCCACTTGTTTTTAAAAACTATATGTATATTTATAATATGTATTTTATATATTAACATACAGTATTATGTATGTACACATACATATCCATAAATGTGATTTTATCTATAGGAAGGAGGCCATATTGCCAGACTTATTTGGCAAAGGTGCTATAAAAGTGGTCTTTTAAAATACTTATCCATTGCTTGAATTTTTCTCATTGAGAATGAATTACTATCATTACAAGAGATTTTTTAAAAAGAAAAAGTCTTATGGTAAGAAGTATGTCTAAAACCCAACAGATATTTTCCCTATCTTAAGAAACTACTGGCCAAGCGTGGTGTCTCATGCCTGTAATCCTAGCACTCTGGGAGGCCAAGGCAGAGCATCGCTTGAGGTCAGGAGTTCAAGACCAGCCTCAGCAAAAGCAAGACCCTGTCTCTACTAAAAATAGAAAGAAATCAGCCAGGCAACTAAAAATATTAAAAAAAAAAAAAAAAAAAAAATGAGCTGGGTGTAGTGGCGCATGCCTGCAGTCCCAGCTACCTGGGAGGCTGAGGCAGGAGGATTGCTTGAGCCCAGGAATTTGAGGTTGCTGTGAGCTAAGCTGACGCCACGGCACTCTAGCCCGGACAACAGAGCAAGACTCTGTCTCAAAAAATAAAATGAAAGAAGAAAGTGTCAACAACAAAATACCAGCAGGACAATGAGAAAATCATACCAGGCCCAGGGACGTATAATATTAAGTGACTAATCATCAATAAAGGGTCTTCATAAGGCTAATGGAATGATTCCTGCTGTTACTTGAAAGACCCCTTAAACATCTTCTTGGTTGAGCTTGTTGCAATAATAACTTACCATGCCAACAGTAGGACCACTGGGTTCTCTTGACCAAGGACTAACTACCACCCCCTGCCCCAGGCCCATAAGCTCCCCTGACAAAGGTCCCTTGTCCGGGTTCCCTACCTTGCCATCAGAAGCAGTGTTGATCCGGTAGTGATACACCCGCCCTTCATATCTCAGCGAGATGGACCTCTGGCCAGGACTGCTCTCGCTCTCCCGCACCAAGAAGCTGCCATTGATCCCACTGCTCAGCAGATACTCAGCAGCGTTGCGGGACACAGGCCCGTGGTACCAGGAGTGCTTCTCCAGACTATTGACTGGCGTGATGTAGTTGCTTGGGACCCAGCCCTGGCCATTTTTGGTTTGGGCTTCGCACCATTCCCCATTGTGATTGTAGCCTAAAACACGAAGCTTTTCACCTTAGGAAAGAACCGAATCAGACAAATTAGCTTTAAAAACCAGCTTTGTTCTTTTTCATTCATTCTTGTATGATTACTAAAAATCTGAAAATTCCTAAATACTGATTTCATTTTAACAAGTCCACATAAACACATGCATTTATAAGACTATAAGAACATGTTTATATATGTGAAGCTTCTTGTTTGTACTTTATAAACAGGTAACTATATTGCCTCAGTTTGCATAAATCTATTATGTTTGCTCCAGTGCTCTGTTCCTAATATAAGGAAACTTTGGGGGCAAGAATGCTTTTTCTTAGGGGAAAAACGTGTTTTCAGTATTTCGACCAGCTATCCTTTTCAGCTTAAAAAAATAGAGCAAGTTCTGTTTTTGCCAAAGACTACTGTGCAGCAATTCTCTTTAAGGAGCGGTGACTGCCTTAGAGAGATGCTGTCGTCGTTTTGGATGTCTCTGCATTTCAGTCTTTAAAGCTGCTCTTTCACAAGCAGAGCGCGTAGCAAGTCAAGCCACAATTCCCAGACTTCTGTCTCTTGAAATCACCGCTTGCTGCCCACAGTCCTTTTACCTTTAGTTATGCTTAGGGTGTTGTCTCCACTGGCCACAAAGTCATACAGTGCAACGAAAAGGTTGGGGTCATTTTCACTGGGCCCAGCAAGAAGGTTTTCCTTGGAGTTCCAACGAGCAGCTTCACTCAGACCCTGGGGCTCAAAGTCAGATGCTACTGGCCTCTGAAGGGCTTCTGGAAGAGAAAGAGGGGAACAGGAAAGGGAAGAATTGGAAGAAAAACTTAGTTTTACTTTCTGAAGCAAAAAAGTCTGTGTTTCTAACACTTTATGTTACTAATTTATTTCATTTCTTAATATCTGTATATACTATTAATAAGATGGTTTAAAAAAAAAACACCTCTTCCTTAACCAAATCTTGTGAAAAACACCAAGTATTTTCATTCCAAGGAGGTAATTACTGTTCCCAAATAGTTTAAGCTTTTAAAATTCATTAATTCAACATGAATTTAGTCAGAAAGGGAAACAGTCCACCCTCATACGTCTTTGCCTTTAAGATATACGACAAAAGTTTCCTGCTTTAAAACATTTTTACCTTTCAAAGTTAATATATGCACGCCACTTAAAATCATAAATAGTACAGAGGGGCTTAAAATGAAAGGCAAACATTTGCTATCCCAGTCCTCTGTACCCCAGAGGCAACAGCTGTTTTTATGGTGATCACCTCCGCCTCTCTAAAATATGAGCTCCATCACCACAGCCCCCTACCCGGTCTCTCCTAGGTGCCACCCCCTACTGGTACCCTCCTATTCTCAGTGACAGACTTACACCTTCACTGTCTGTTCTCCCAGCCAGGGACAGCGGCTCTCAAGGACTTACTGCACAAGATAAGGATATTAACATCTCACTCTTCCTTCCAGCTTCCCCTGCCATGCCCACTCTCAAATGTGGTCTTCTTTACTTTTTTGTTTTTAAACAGAGTCTCACTCTGTCACCCACGGCTAGAGTACAAGTGGCGTGATCATAGCTCACTTCAACCTCAAACTCCTGGACTCGGCTAGGCATGGTGGGTCATACCCGTAAATCCTAGCA